TTTTTTTTTGAGAGGGCATCTCTCATATTTATTGATCAAATGGTTGTTAACAACAATAAAATTCTGTATAGGGGGGTCAATGCTCAATGCACAATCATTAATCCATCTCAAGCCTAATTCTCGTCAGTCTCCAATCTTCTGAAGCATAACGAACAAGTTCTTGCATGGTGAACAGTACAAGCATGCCCTGAATATTTTGATGAAGAATAGTTCTTTAAATAAATTGGGAGTGAATGGGTGCATTAAAGGGAGAAGTTTCAGCAACATGGCCATCCCATCATGCAAGCTCTGCCTCTGGTGAGTAAAGCGGCACCAGGGATGCATGTGTGCCTCTGTCCTGCAGAGCTGTCTGTGAAGCCCACAGAGACCCAGGTCACCCTCGGCAGACTGCAGGCTGGTGCATCCTATACTGTTCAGGTGCGCGCAGACGCGGTGATGCAGTGGGGCGCCTGGAGTCAGCCCCAGTACTTTAACATCGGTGAGTGGAGGGCAGGGGAGGCGGGGCTAGGTAGTCACCTAGTATGTACTGCCCCTTCCCACGCCTCTGAAAGCAGTCCCACCTGGCCCTGCTCCGTGGCCCCTCATGCATTGCTCTCAGGAGAAAGTCCCAGCCTGGCCTGCTCCCACCTCCTTCACCAGCTTGTCACCTGCCGCTTTCTCTCATGAACCTTCTCTCACACCCCTGTAGCCTTGCCCATGAAGCCCCTCTGCCTGGAATGCATCTTCTCTCTATTGTCAAACTCCTTTTCATCTTTCAAAGCTCAGCTCAAAAGCCTCCTCCTCCAGCAAGCCTTCCAGGCTTTCCCTCAGCAGAGACTGCCTGGCACCTTGGGAGTAGGTAGGAGTGTGTGTGTCTTGGCTCTGCCTCCCCCAGCCTAGGGTCTCCTGGGGAGCAGCAGGGAGCAGGGGGTGCTATTTAGAGTGAATGAATGACCATCAATGAATGCGTGTCTCTGTCATCACAAAGATAAGGAGGTGAGCTCTGTTGTCTTGGGGACCATGACCCTGAGGGATTGGAGACCAAATAACCGCTGTTCCTGCTAGGGTCCTTGCCTGTTGTCCTTGCAGTGAAATCTGGCCTCAAGAGGGCCAATCAATCAGGCTTGGTGTGGGGAGGGCAGTTCTGGGACCAGGGGAGCAATATACAGGCTGCACCCGTGGTCCCTCGGTGCTGGTGTCCTGAACACTGGCGGTGTGTCAAGGCCTTTACCCCACAGACAAGGCACAAGGGGGTTTCTTGGTCTCCCACTTCAAAGGTAAGGAAATCGAGGCATGGAGGGGCCGTGATGTGCCAGGGT